CTCATAATGTTACATGTCTGGGTGTCTCTGACATTAGAGGAAACATTCACTTAAACTACCTGAAGGAGTGGTAGTAACAGGACCGAAACTTCCCAAGGGCTGTTTGGTGGATGGTGCCATGCTACTTGGATGAAATGTGAAAGCTGGGTCAGTGGATGTAGGTAAGAGCAAGTGGAGAGTGCTGAGGAGCTGCGTGGTAGAGGGGCAGGATGTGGCACTGGGGCAGCTGAAGGAGGAGCTTCACGGAAGTGTTTGAGCAGCCTGGATAAGTGGAATGGGATGGTTTGTGGGGTTGTGGTGGAGGAAGCTTGATGCAGCGGGCTTATGAAGTTAAGGTCTTCAGTTATGCTGGCCACCTCAGTCGCCCCAGTGCTCTTGGCAGAGGAAAGCATCTCTCATGTGCATGCTTTCTAGGAGAAACAAATGCTGATGCTGCACGGTAAACGGCATTTCAAGGTGGCTTTTACACTGAACAATATTAACCATAGCTGGGAGTACCTGTGTCTTGTATCATCCCAGCAGAAGTTACCTCCCACTTTTTGGAGGATACTTGATGACAACAAGTGTGACTTGTGGTGTCACAACCAAACTGATATTACAAGAGATTCAGAAATTCTATGTAATGCAAGAGTCACTGCCTCTATTCAGAGATCTGTATTTTCTGATCTGCTCTGGGCAGCAGTGTGTGTGCAATTTTTGATTACATGAGGCACTGAGAGAGCCCCACTGACTTAACTTGCTTGCCAAGTCCTGGGTACAGTGTCTTTCTAGGTGTCATATGTATTCTCTTGCCTTCTAGATTTTTTTTTCCCCCTCCTGGAGAGGATGGGTAGCAGGGATGCAATTCCCTATTGGAATGGATGTTTCTGAGAGTCCATTGCATGCCATTTATTTTATTAGCTGTACCTTTAACTTCTGGAATGTATATTACAATGCTGCTGTTTTGAACACAGTGGGGAAGAAAAAAAACGGTTCAATGCTATCGGAGGAATACTTGAGCAAAAGTTGATGCCTGCAGAGTTGCTTCTTCTGTGTGGACAGATTTATCCTTAATTTCTTTTTGAAAATCAAATAAGTTCTATAAATAGATTTATATAACTTGCATTATAGTTAATTAAGTGTAGTTTTGAGAGAGCTTGAATACAAAATTGACATTTCATCTACAATAATGACACATTTATTGATGCCCTAGAATGGAATCTTCATGGCTTTAAAGAAAAGATGCATAACTTTTATATGGGCAATACAGCATGATGGCTTTTAAGCATCTTTTGTAGAACACAGCTATTTTAGTTTATAAATGAGCATAACTCTGCTGTACAGAATCACAGAATCACTAGGTTGGAAAGGACCTTCAAGATCATCAAGTCCAACCATTAATCCAGCGCCACCATGTCCCCTAGACCATGTCCTGAAGGGCCACATCCACACGTTTTTTGAATACTTCCAGAGATGGTGACTCCACCACCTCCCTGGGCAGCCTGTTCCAATGCCTGACCACCCTCTCAGTCAAGAAATTTTTCCTAATATCCAATCTAAACCTCCCCTGGCACAACTTGAGGCCCGTCTCCTCTTGTCCTATCACTAGTTACTTGGGAGAAGAGACCAACACCCTTGTCACCACAACCCCCTTTCAGGTAGTTGTAGAGAGCGATAAGGTCTCCCCTCAGCCTCCTCTTCTCCAGACTGAACACCCCCAGTTCCCTCAGCCGCTCCTCATAAGACTTGTGCTCCAGAAATACCGTGAAGGGAAGCTACATGTATCCTCTGGTTTTCCAGGAGCCAAACAAAACTGCTGGTACAATGGTTTTAAAGATGTTATAGCCTCAGTAAGAAACTCTGAAAACGTGCAATTGGAAGAACTAATGTAAGCAGATTCGGTATGTGGCAGTCTCTAAAATTATTCATTCCTTTAACAATTCTGATTTACAGTGCTTAGAAGAAGAGACACCAATTAGATATAGAACTGAAAACGGGGGTCTAAAATGACTGCTAAATACAGATCTTCCTAGCGTATCCTTCAGCCTCTACCACATTCCTCTAAGCAGGAAAAAGAATTACCAGCTTTGTCTGGAAAAATAAGGAAATGTACACTCATAGCCTTTCCTTGCCACCGAGGTGAATCTGAGAGAACGGAGTGTTTTCGGGGTCCCTGTGAGAGCCTGTGTTATTTAGTGGTTTGTCTGAGTTAGGTTCTGTTTGGTTCTTAAATATGAGGGAATCTGTTTAGCTGTGCAGATGAGTAGAAAGCAATTGTTTAAATGAGGCATCATTCAATCTTTCTTTAATTGTGTTTGTGTATGTATTTTTTGTTAACAAAAAGGTTATAGTTAAAAACTACAGTAAGGATGAATTAAAATCTCTGTTCTTATAAGAGACTAATACCATATGTCATAAAATGTTTTACTGTAGCATGATCATGGCATCATTCTGCAGCATCAGAATCACTTTCAGAACACTCCAGGCTTTGCCATTCAGTATCTATATATCTCCTAGGTGCATCTTCCACACTAGATAAATACTGAGGGGTACTTTGGGACCCAGCTGTGTTAGCTTCTCTTGGGTCTGAGATGTTAATGATAGTGTAATTATAGACAGGGATATAGTTATCACAGCAAATTCTGAAATGTGAAATTGACTCCTGATCTCAGTTCTTTCCTAAATTTGGGAGTTGTGTGCTTGCTTGCTTATACCAGAATACTGGATATTGGATTATGTGTCAATAATATTTCAATTTAGTAGCCAAATATGGAAGGAATATTTATGAAACTACTTCTTGAAGACATGGCCGTTTGTACTAAAAATCTGAATGTTCTTCTGAAAGGTGTTCTGCCAAAGATTTTCAGCAGGCCTTAATCTTAGCATTTTCCTGTAGTTTATTCTGTTTCATGTTTCAGAAGTAAACTAATTATTTCAGGTCATGAAAAAAATTTAAATTAGGTGTTGTATTTCTTTTCCAAAGTACAGGTTAGTATTGGGTTAGATGTGGGGTGTGTGTAGATTATCATATTACCTGCCATCATCTCCTTTCTTTTCCAAGATTTAAAAAAAAAGTGCAGGAGTTAGGTGCTACCAATGCTTTACAGTCATCATGGTGGTTTGTGGGTAAGGTGATTCATTAAATGTCATATATTTAAATATCTTATATGACTGAATAATAAAAACACAGAAATACAACAAACTCCAAACCAAAAAGCCTAATGCTGTCAAACAGTGTTAATGTTAAAGGATTTTATTTACAAGTAAGATACATTTTTTTAACATCTGCTTTTAATAACAGGCTTGCTTTAAAAGCATTAAATTCCCCAAATGAAGAATATGCAATGAGTTTCATTTTAGGTGGAGCCTGCTGCTTGGCTGGCCACTCATTGTATGGAGTCTAAAGATTGCTAGAGGAAACTTTTTTTTTCCCCTGATGTAATTAATGCTCTAGCGTCTACAGAGTTTTCTTCCAGTGCTATAAGAAAAATGAATATAACCTGCCTGATATGCACTTACCCACCAGTCATACCACTGCCATAACAGACTGCAGTTGCTCTTTATCTTCTGCATGCCACTTCCTTTGACAGAGCTGCCATTCATACTCTTGGTTCCAGGTAGTGTTTTTTCAACTCCTGTCTGCTCTCCTGCTCAGACTGCACTCTCCCTAATGTTTTTTTTTGTTTGGTTTTTAAGTAACTAGTAGCCTGGAAAACTGTCCTCCTGTTCTGGTTTTCAGGGTGTGCACAGCCTATGGAGTTAGTTCATGTCAGTGTGCATCTTGTACACTTTTCCTCACAAGTCCAGACAGAGAAACATAAAATTTTTCTTCAGCAGGGGGCAAAAAAGTTGTGTAGGGCATCAGGACAAAGTGTCTTTTTTAAGTTGAGTATTTCTCAAGGAGCATATTAATATGAATGTAGTCATTCCGAAAGTTGTGTAGAAACCAAGTGTTAATGAATAGGCAGTCATGCTGGAGTTGAGCTGACTGATGTCAAAGAGAAGGCCATAGTCTGTTGAAAATAACTCCCCAGAGCGTAGCAGGGTGCTCACACTAATCCAAAGGCAGCTTTTAGTTGCACCAGATTGCTTTTCCCAAAGACTGAACCCTGTTGTAGGTCCAGACTAGAAGACATGAATGCAACTTTCAGTCCTTTTCCAGAGCTTGTTCTGCTGTGATCACATGGGATACAGGAGGTCAACTGTCCTCTGTTTTCTTAGCATCTTGCTAGATCCAGCTTGGAGGACTAGTAGAGGAAACAGGCCATGTTCTGAGAGTTCCAAGTGGGAGAGAGAATCATCACATTAGCAAGTAGTGTCCTTTCCCTGATTCAGCTGTTGAGAATGAATTAAAAGACTTAGTGGATTGAGTTTAGAAAGATTTAAATGTAGGGTGATCATCTTACCTTTCAGCAGCACTAGGGATGTGCCATCTGTCTGAGTGGTTGATTTGTTTGTTTTAAAGACAAATGTGGGGGATAAAAGCTCAGTAAAGCTAGTTACAGTCTGCAAAGGGCAGTCTCTTAACCTGTTACTCCCTACAAACTGTGAGCAGGAAAAGCCTTATATATGGAAAGTTTTGGCTGGCCTGTGTTGTTAGGGTGGGGTGTGAATCAGCTGAGGCACCTCATTGCTTATCCACATGGTGTATGTGATGAAGGTCCGATGGGGCCAGTGCAGCTACAAAATAGAAACCGGCACTAGACAAATGAAGGAGAACTGTTTTAAATACAGGAGGAACAAATGGATCTTTTTTCTGCACCACTCCTCTACAGTGTTTCCATGTTAGAGGTCATCTCCAGTGGTTGCTTAGGCCCTGGCTTGAGCTATTGAGTTCTTGGGAACCTGTGTTGCACAGCTTGCAAATTACTTTTAATGCAGCTTTTTCTGTGCCATTTCTTTGGGTTGGGCTTTTGTTACAGCTTTCAATGGTGATAAATGTGTGCAGGATCATTTAGGGGAGAGCCTGTGCATAGCACTGGCACTAAAAATACTTCTCCCTTCTTTTTCTTTTACTCCAGACCAATGAATGGAATAAGAACGACGATCGGCTGCTGCAGGCGGTGGAGAATGGCGATCCTGAGAAAGTGGCTTCATTGCTGGGTAAAAAGGGAGCCAGTGCCACCAAACAAGACAGTGAGGGCAAAACTGCGTAAGTCCAACTTAAACTTGTAGTTTAAGCACAAGGGAGGGTAAAAAACAACCTTGGATGTGTATGCCACTTACAGGAATTAAGAAACAGAGACCATCATGAAAATGAACTTTTCTTTTTCATCTAAAGCACAATACATTCTGGAAAGCCCCATTTGTATTTGTCATTCTACATTTAAAATTGTATTGTAAAATGTATTCTACATTCAGAATCATAAACCCATTGAGGTAACTTGAAGCTGGATTGCTGGGTGGATTGGGGCCATTTTAGGACAGGGTATTTTGGGACTCGGGAATTTCATGGCACACTGCAGTTTGCACACTCCAAAAGGCATTAATCTTCGTGGCTATTTTTTCCACATGGACATTAGTTTAATGACATAAAAAAGATGACAAATTTTCTTTCTAATGGGTTAGTTTTGAAGTGAAACTATGATGATTGAGTTTTAAAATCTTGCAGATGTTAATGATTTGTGCAACCGTTCCTTGTTTTGATTGAAGTTTGGCAATGAAAGTTTTGTGTGAATGAGATTCCTTTTGCAGTCTCAATGTATTTCATATATAGCATTTTCTTCTTCTATTCTTCCGCTTGTTCATCTGTGAACATTCTGAATTGTGGAAGACAAAAGTTTCTGGTAAGAAAATTACAGCCAAGAGATGGCTATCCTTCAACTATCTTTCTTATGGCATACAAAGATGATTAAATGGATAAAAGAGGAATAGGCATCCTATGACAGAACCAAAGGCTTCATAAAATTCTGGATAGGTGGGGAGAAAGGAAAACAGTTTCTGGTCTTGGGAGAGGCAGCACAAGGCAGTTTATACCAAATAAGTTCTAATGAATTAACTCTGTGTTACATTTATTTAGTCACGCTTTGCTTCTTGCTTGGTCTGTTTGTTTCCTACATCTGCTCTATTCTTGTTGTGCATCTGAGGAAACTGAATGATGGCAGTGACTCATAGTGACCTGCAACTTCTTACTGCAGAAGTCCAAGTCCTCTAAGTACTTCAAGTGAGCTTTCTCCACACTTTAGTATGTTTTTAATTTTAAAAAGTTGCATACACGTTTTTCTTTTGAACATAAACAAAGCATGACTTCCATTGAATCTTCTGAATTACATCTATGTTTAGCATCTCATGTTTTTACAGTCAACATAACCTCAGAGCTACATTTTTAAGGTGCACTGTATCCAGTGTAACACCTAGTTTGCAGGTTTCATATATAATTTGACACTATGAGTTTTTCTAGGGAACCAACCAAGACCAAAATTATCTGTGAGTATGCACAAGCCTTTTAGCTCTAACAAATTGTATTGTTGTAACTGTAGGGATCTGGTGCAATGATTTTCAGCTTTACAGGGATACCCTATGAATTTCCTCCTTTCTTCCTCTTTATTTGCAACTACAAAGAAGTTGATGATCATGTATTTATGTTAATGATTCTATTACTAATACTGCAGATAATTCTTTTAATTGCTTGGGACAAATGTGAATTAATGCTATTACGATCTCTGCTTCTGCTTTTTCTGTATGCTAATTTGTCATTTACTTTTTTAGTTATTTCTATGTGGTGGTTTAAAAGAAAGCTTGAGAGAGAATGAATAAAAATATTATTGCTGTGATACAGAGATACAATGTCAACTCTTATTCTGTTTCCAGTGCTTTGGGAAACTTAGCAGACCTGCTCACGTTATTTCTGTTGCAGTTTTCAAAGATAGAGACTGACAGGTGTAGAAACAATTGACGCTTATCTGGAGAGGCATGGCTACCAAGGAGTATCATGACCCAGAAATGTTCTCCAGTATGGCTTATTAATAATGGGCAGTTTCTTGTTTGCATTTTTCCCTCTTCAGAGTCTTTTTTCAGTGTGTGCAAAATAGAGTACAGCCATAATTTCTGTTTAGGTAGGCTTGTTTCTCCCATGTTTGCAGTGTGGCACCAGGGCTTCATTCCTGCACAGAGATTCTGGGTGCCTAAGGTAGCTGTGTTGCCCTATCTCAGAAGCTCTGCTTAGAGGCATAGACCTTGCTGCAGCCCTGCACTGAGGTCTCTTAGGGTCCCGCAGAAGCATCGTACTAGTTTGTCAGTTACCACATCTGGAGCATGGGAGGGTCTCATGCTGGGAAAGAGGAATCTGGAGAGTTCTTTTTGGCACAGTTGGCCACCATCATGCTCAGATTTCACGGGTTACATTTTAGAAAGTGGTCTGCAGTGTCATGTGGGAAGGGAGCTCTTTGGATGAGCGGTTTATTGATCCCTGTGAGTATATATATTGATGCATTTGCTTACATAATTAGGCTGAAGGTGACTAACTAGAAGAACATGATGGATTCAGTTATATAACAACTTGCATAATGTGATTTGGAATGTGCTTGAAAGCAAAAAAAGGAGAAACAATTACATGTTGCAGTACAGGTTTGTTAGGCCTGTCATTGTCTGTTCCTTTAAGGTGTGACAAGTTACTTTTAAGATCTTTTATTTTTCATTCTTTTTGTTAATAAACCTTCAAACAAAATTCTCAATACTTCCCAGCCCTTTATTTGAAGCATAGTAATATAGTATATTATTTTAAACAGAAGGCTGAGAGGACTTTAATTTTTCATGCTTAAAGGGTTGCTTTGAAGTTTTTGTTTTATAATCAAATGGCTTATTAATATAAAATGCTTGAACCGAGCGGAACAGAGACCAGAATCCAAGACTTCCTGTATTTGTCCTGTTGAGTACCCTACACATCATTCCACTGAGTACTGCTACAATGTGCTCCAGCTCTGGCTTGGTTTTGGACATGACCACTTAAATTTCACCTGTGTCCTCTTTTGCCTCTGTCTTGTAGGTCCTTTTCTTTGTGGCTTGCCCATATGCAATAAAACAGAGATGCTTAAATTAGTGAGGTTGAGGTACCAGTAAATTTCTTAGAGGTAATACTTACAGAGTTTCATCAGGAGGTTTAACTCTCCAGCAGTACCTCTTTAAAAAAATATTTCAAAAATACTGTTGAAGTAATGAAACGAGTTTTTTAAGACTTGCCTCACTTTCCACACCACCACCCTGCCTCTGACTCAGTCTTTTCTATAAACAATAAATCAATTTCAAGGCAATGGAGCAAATCCACCTTTGGCATAAGTTGACACAGCCCCGTTGTTGCTCCCACTTAAACAGCACAGACTATTGCCAAGCACACTTGTAGTAGAACCTATCTGGAAATCTGACTCTGCCATTGTATTCTTATTCTGCCAGATAGGTGTGGGGTTTTTTTTGTCCAACTTCCTTAAACAACAAAACAGTGCTTTTCAGTTTGGAATTTGATTATTTCAATCCCACTTGGACTAACAAAAAAGGCTTTTCAAAGAGGGCCTTTTCAGGAGGGGATAGGATTCATTCATGTACTGTACTTTCCACAAGAGCAAGTGTTCAAATGGGCTGTTTCTTAAAGAAGCTGCAGCTATTGGGAGCAGGGCGCAGGGAGGGGAGAATTCACAGTCTAAGGAAAGGATTCGCAATGTATAAGTGGCAGCACTTCCTTGTCCTAAAGTTATTTTTTTCTCTGTGTGCCAGTCCGTCACTGCCATGTTTGCATGTTTCTGCAAGGCACTGAAGTAGGATTAAATGCTTACGGCTATTAAATGAACAGTAGGTCTCTGTAAATTTTTTAACTAAAATTGAATCAGCTATTGTTTAATAAAATGAGTCTGACAATGGTACAAAAAAGCTTTAGAAACCTTTACAAATGTACATTTTAAGGACTCTTTCACAAAACTATTGTCAATAGCAATTAGTTGAAATTATATATTTTCATTTGAACCAGAATGCTCATACCTTGGAGGCTGAATTGAAAATAAATTTTGGAGCATGTTCGAACCTCAAATCCCTTATATTTATCAGATACACAGTATTCATTCAGATCTTATTGTATAAGGAGGTGGGGCGAGCGGCATGAAGGACATCACTGTTCAAACAATAAATCAGGTTTTAATTGCCTTTTAAGAGAAGGTTGTTCCATGTATATAACTATATTTATCTTAAAGGAACCTAATGGAAGAATACAAGCTTACTACAGTCATTACACTGTTCTAGCTGAGAAAGAAAACCACAGAAAATGGTTTAGATAGCTGATCTTCAAAATTGGGGAAGATGCTTATGAAACAGAAGAAGAATTGTATCATCCTGCCTTTCTTGATTCCAAATTGCTATAAATCCTGTAGGAGACCTTTGAAATTCAGGCAGCCTCTACATTATTTTCTTGTACACATGTTGGGGGTTCTCAGTTTAACGCTATGCTCTAGAAGACATTGCTTTTGTACAGACCCTGTGTCATCTCTTAATATTGGCTAAACACTTAATTAGAAAAGCATACTAGCATATTGTCTTTCAAAAATTGTACCAGGGTAGAAGCTGCAAAAAATGTCTAGTGCCTGAGGTCTGTCACCTCTCCAGGAATGGAGTTCAGTGGTGTTCCAGTGACCTGATATGATCCTTGACAGAAAATACATTTTTCATAGAATCATAAAGTAGTTTGGGTTGGAAGGAGCCTTTAAAGGTCACCTAGTTCACCCCGCCTGCAATTGGCAGGAGCAGCTTCAACTAGATCAGAGCCCTGTCCAACCTGACCTAGAATGTTTCCAGGGATGGGGCATCTACCTCCGCTCTGGGCAACCTGTGCCAGTGTTTCACCACCTTCACTGTCAAAACTTTTTTCCTTAGATGTAGTCTGAATCTACCCTCTTGTAGTTTAAAACCATTACCCCTTGTCCTATCGCAACAGGCCCTGCTAAAACGTCTGTCCCCGTCTTTCTTCTAAACCCCCTTTAAGTACTGGAAGGCTGCAGTAAGGTCTCCCCAGAGCCTTCTCCAGGCTGAACAACCCCAATTCTCTCAGCGTGTCCTCACAGGAGAGGTGTTCCATCCCTCTGATCTTTGTTGTGGCCCTCCTCTGGACCCACTCCAACAGGTCCATGTTTTTCTGATGCTGAAGGCTCTAGAGGTGGACACCGGAGTCTAGGT